GGGGGAGGGGGGATAGACGACCCTTCCGATAATGCTTATTACTGGACAATGAATTATGAAACTTCGTAGCGACTTCGCTTCACGCAGATACATATTCTCATAAAAGAGCAGCAAAATATATAATTTTTAATGCGGTGTATCACTTTCCATAGAATGTTTACCGTCGAGGCGCACAAGATTATTAACATAAACAAGAGCGTTAAAATAATAGAAAAGTCAATAATCTCATTGGTCTATTGGAGTATCGATAAAATTATAAAAACATTAGCAAATCTTATTGTCCCATCATTTTCATCATAATATTTTCTTATATCATAGCTTGAAATTTTATAACAAGGAATTATCAAAGTAAACTGATAATTTGTCGAATTAGTTGATACATTTTTATAAATAAAAAATATTATCATTATCAAAAATATCATGAAAAGTGAAAGTATGCGTTTATTTATCAGCTTAATAAGAATTTTTAAAAGATCAATTTCAACACTTGCTTAGGTTGGTTAATGTAGAAATTTCAAACTCGATTAGAAATTCAAATTGTTCAAAATTCAAAACGTTCAAACGGACATTATGAAAATAAATTATCTAAGATAGTAAATATACGAAAACTGATTTATCATAGTCCCCGTTAGTATTTTTTTTACTTTTGAAAGCTTGAATAAATTATGGTATCGTTTGCAATTTTTACTTTCCTAAATTTCAATATAAACAATATCTTTTTTAATTAAATAATACGAAAGTTAATGTTTTCAAAAATATAGGTAAAATTTTTGAAATTTATACGAATTCTTAATAAGGAAATAAACGAAGCAACTGCATTACTTTGAAAAAATAAAATAAAATATTAAATTCACATCGTTTCGTATATGCTAATCATTCTTCTGCGCACGATAAAGTTATTTTTCACTGATGGTAATTAATGATAAAAATTTTATTTTTCTACTCATGCTGTTCTTCGTTTGTAAATTTTCTAATAAATTAATGAAAAAATAAGCATTCGTTAAATAAAAAGATTTTTTTCGATCTACGGCGTCAAATTTCATATAAATAAACTCGCATAAATAAATTGAGTATATTAATAATATTTGTTTTAATATTTGTAAGTTAAAATAAATATTAAATATGAATATTTCTTATAATGGATATAATTGAAGGATTTTAATAATGTAGAATAGACGTTATAGATAAAACTCATGTTTGAAATTTCTTAGACGACTACAACATTCAACATAGTACGGCTTAAACAGAAGAGGGAAAGAATTAATGTTTTTTAAAAAGTAAAGCTTAAAAAATCAATTTCACGATAGAAAAACTTTCTTTCTACCCTCGCTAATATTCGCTTCATTTTTCACCATTTTTTTAGGCTAGTTATATATATATATATATATAGTTTTTTTTTTTTATAGAAATGATTTTTTTTTAACCTCTGTTGCCGATAACAAAAATTACTATTTGATATATTGAAAAAGTGCCTGAAATTGATTAAGCATTTTATAAATGTCATCAAAGATTCGAGGGAAGCAGCAGCAGCAGCAGCAGCAGCAGCAACAACAAAAGAAGCTCCAACTGTCATCCGAGCAGTCGGATAATGGCGGTGAACAACGTCAACGTCGCTTCAGCTCAAACAGCCAACAACAGCAGCACCACAACTCAGCGGATGACAGACATTCCAATGTTTCCAACAAGCCAATGGCTTCGATAGGCGAGGACCACTTGAAAGATCTGGCCCACACTTACACTGGCCTCGACAAGCGCATCTCCGAGGAATTCATATCGATAGCCATGGACCCGGAGAGGAAGTCCAAGGCGTTGAGCAATCACGGAAGTGAAGTAAGCGCCGCTCGTAAGTGAGGCGCTCAGGGGAGCCGACGGAGATAGATTACGAAGATTCCGATGCGACTTTCTGGTTGAATCATCGAGGCGAAAGAGCAATACAATGACAACCGTGCGAGCGACCCCTTGCATTGTCATTAATAACAATCACACGGCGCTCAATCCTCGGGCACAAGAGATAATCGACTTCTCGCTTCTAATCGACATGTTCGATTACTGTCTTATCTTTTTCCAATGAGTAAAGCATTAAATGAAATGGTTTATTTTTCTTCTTCTTCTTCTTCTTCTTCTTCTTCTTCTTCTTCTTTTGTTAAAGAAATTTAATCAATAACAGTATTTAATTAACCATGAATAGTACCTGGTTAAGGAACCTTTACATTTATTTAATGTCATTATCAAATATTTTAGTCTTTTCTACTTCGAGTAAGGAGATATGGATGACTTTGCAGAAACTTCCTATGTAAGAGAATGTAAAGCATCTCGTGCGATCAATTGTATAATTGATAAAGGTATTTCTTTTGTTACATTAGTATTGCCGGGGATTTATTTGAAGAAAAGTTAGAAATATATATATATATATACATATATATATATATATATTCTCACACTGTACAGTCTTTATAATTTGCAATAGTGCAATTATAATTCAATTATAGTTAATAATTATTTTGCTTGAAAAATCGATGCAAGTCCAAACAAATTCTACTTGCATCATGTTAAATATATTAAAATCTTTGAAGTAGATCCAAAGTTACCTGGTCGAAGTTTGTTATAAATATTTTAACGAATGATATATTTGTGTAATTGTGCATTGAAATTATAAAACTTTGGTAGCGATACGTACTTTGTCACACCTTCTACATAACAAATTTATTCATTTAATAATGAAAACCGATAGTTTACAGTTACAAGAATTTACTTAACAACGCTTAGTAAATAATTCCTTAAACCATCATGTACAATATATTTATTAATATGAAATATATTATTAAGACTATTTATATTAATAACCGATAATCTTGTATGTTCTTGGATTTATTATGAAAATTATTAAAACCGATTATTAGATGGAAATAATTAGTAAAATTCAAACTCAAAATTCATTCGATATCTCAATACATTAAATTAATTCCAATGCGATACAGTCAAATATAATTTTAGTATTACTAGGCGTAATGGCCAATGAGCAAATATCTATTTAACATTTTAGCTGTAAATTCTGTACAGAGCATATAAAAATAAAATATTATATGTCGAAAGGTCTTATTCATCTGTGCATAATAGAATAGTAAACGTGCATAATAAACATTTACATTATTTATTATAGATGAACATTAAGTATCAAATAATTTTTTCAAACACTATAGAATTGAAAAATAATGTTAGATATACTCTTTGGCTAACTCATAATGGAGCTTCTTCTTATATTGTGTGGGTATTTTATAATTTTCTACTATTCGTGTAAATATAAAATAAGGTACTAGTCAGACAAAACAATTTCTTTCTCAATTCCTACAATTCTAAGAGGAATGGCATATAGGAACAATTGTATGGTAGTTTTATAAAAATCATTAGTGTTAAAATTATTAGTGATTTCGTTCGTCGTAATTTAAGATACACTTGAAATATTGTTTTATTAAAATTTACGAAATTGTTATTGCTTTCGCCTATATATAAATAAAATCTACTCAAATGAAAAGTAATATAATTTAATATTAATAATAAAATAGTGAATAATCTTTATTTTATATCCCAAGATAGTGGCTTACTTATGATATTAAATTTAACAAATACAGTTTGCCCGATCTTGTCTCCGAAATTGTTAACAGTTTCTTTTAAATATTAAGGAATATGTGAATAAATAATATTGAAATAATATTATTGTAGATAGAGGAGAATCTTATAATGTAATTTCAATACTTTAACATAATTTACAATTTTATTACATGTATTTTAATTTTCACGTATTACTATATAAAATTTATTTCTTATTTAAATGAATAATTATTAGATATGTCGTTGTGTCTAATAAATTAATGAATTAGTACATTTCCTTAAAATTTAATGAAACTTGATATTATAAAATATATATAGACATGAAATATAAATGAATATATACATAAATATTAAACATTGATATTATTAATACCTAAATTAACAATGAATAATAATTATTAATACCAAGAATGGAGAGATTGAACTGGTTAAAACACCTAAATTTACATTATTTTAACAAATAAATTTTCTTATTATTTCTTATACCATTACTATATTTACACTCTTCTTTAATCAAAATTTACTCCACCCTCTAATGTAATTTTATTTAATTTAATTAACAATGGATACTTAAGAAATTATGCATATATAAATATAATGTATTAACTATATAAATACGAATTAATTGATAATTTGATTTAATTAGAACAATATTTAAATTTCTATATTATTCGCAATTGAATAATTTAATTTATATTTTTATAAATATGTTACTTTGTAATATTAATTAAACTTTGAAATTCTATAGCACCTTCTCGTCTCTTAAATATTTTTCAATAATTTTTACTTAAAATAGTATCCAATCGTTGTTAATTAAATTAAGGCAGATTATATTTCCTTCGATATTCGACTTTAATAAAAAGTCAATTTTCTTACTTTCCACACTAAAAATACTACATGCAATTTAATTATTCATGGATCAAATTAGATTTAACATTTTTATTAATAAAACATATTTTTACGAAACGGACGAATAAAAATAATTAAATTATTAATAGATTAATCCTATTATTTATTTAGGTTCATTTCATTCTATACATAATATTTTCAATGATTTAAAGTTTATTAATTCATTGTTCATAAAAATAATTTTCATACTAAATTTAATTTCAAGCTTATCCCTTAAATTTTCAATGCCTCTATGATTTTTATATTCATATAATTCTTTAATCCTAAAAATTAAAATAATTAGATATGTAATCGTAGTTATTTTGATTAATCAATGATTAATTAAAGTTTTGTTCAATGATTAATTTTTATACTGAAATTTGTAACAATTTATTAATTATTTTAGACGCTTGTATTAATTTATATTTTTATTATGTTTAATCTTAATTGCTGGCACAAATTTTCATAAATATAAGATTTTCTGGATATTATGGAGTAAAATACTAATGTTTCATTTATATGCTAATTATTTATAATCGCTTACTCATGCAAATTGATATTAAATAGTTTTTTTTTTTTTTTTTTTTTTTTTTTTTTTTTTTTTTTTGTTAATTAATAAACCAAATTAGAATTCTTTAGAAAATTTATATAAATAATGAAAATAAAAATATTATTACACATTGAAAAATAAATAAATAATAATCTTTGGAAATAGAAAAGCTTGCTGTGTTCGGTAGTTTTAAGTAATGAAAATCAGTTTTATGGTTGGAAATATGTGGTTCATCAAAGCTCATTAAACATCCTCATCGATAAAACTTATCATCGTTTAATCATTTATTATATAATACTTTTCAATCGAGTAACATAGCAATAATAAATTTCATCAGAAACCAAAATTATAATAAATGAAATGAATGAACTTTGGCAGAAGACAACTCATATGACTGAATATTTAATCGAGCGCTACACCCACTATTGTCAAGAAAATTATACAAAGTAATTAGTCGCAAGCGATCTCTTACTGCTGCATATTCCGAACTAGGCGACCTCTATTCATCCTCCTTAATGTTTAGCTTTGGAGGTAAATGGAAGAACATGGAGAAAAATAGGCATTTGAAAAATAAAAACAAGGTTTGTTTATACAAATGACATTAAATATATAACAAAGTTTTATAAGACTTGATTTTTTCGTTCGTTCTTGAGAAATTTTATATTTCTCGAATAAAGCACATTGGATACATCTAATCTGTTCATTAAGAGTAAATATTTTCAGCGAACATATAAATTTTATCCTGCATTACAAATCTTGTTACATATTATTTATTAAGTTAATATTTATTTCAGGATCGATGAAGCAAGGAAAGAATAGAGTATCAAGCAAGAGGAGGGAGATGTATTTATTTAAAAATATACTGGAAATAAATTAACAAATAATAATGCGCGATTATATCTTTACACCAAATTTTAATGCCAAAATAATCAAAAATATATTTCATGACAGACGACCGAACGCATCTGCATAAACATTATGCTATAAAAATTATAAATATTCGACAATAATATCGTGAAATAAAAACATGTCAGTTTTAATTTAATATACAATTTTAACGATACATAGTTCATACAGATATGATGTTGATAATTAGCATTTACAAATAAAATAAAATTTGTAATATTTGTTCATGTAGTATAACTACACTAACATGTAAGATAAATTACCAAAATTATATTATTTTTTACATATGGATAATTAGTAATTGTGATTTAAAATTAATAGATTACAATATAACACTGTACAATTACTATAAATAAATTACATATATTAATTTAAACAGAATGTCGTTGAACTTTACATGAAATATTTTAATGAAATGTTTTAATGGTATTAAAAAAAAAAAAAAAAAAAAAAAAAACAACTATTAACATTGACACTGATTTAAGCTTCACCATAAATGAAAAGTTATATAAATAAATAAAAGCTTAGTTGAATGTTCTTTTTTAATTAAAAAGCCATTCTAAATTAGAAAAATAAATACATTGAATAGATAAAAATGAATAGTTATAAACTAATTTGCTTGAAATGAAAGTTAGATATGGTAAAACATATATTAGAAAAATTTTGATTTATTGACATTGTTATTAAATAGTGTTATTCTCTAAATAAAATTATTATTATTATATATATATATATTTAATAAATAACAATATTACATTATAATAAGCTATCAATATCTATTAACAATTATTTTAAAAATAGTTAAATAATATTATAATTCTATTATACTTTTATCATTTAATAATAAAACTAGATAAGCACTTTAAGATTTTAATTATTTTTATAGAAAATGAATCTAACTGGATGATGATAAGATGATCACTAATCTCTAACTTAACATTTAATATAATACTTACAAGTTCCTAACTGTGTCAAGTAATTGTACAATAAGTGAATTGTCATTATAAATAAATTAAAAAAAAAATAAAAAATAAATAAAAATAATGTAACAAAAGTACTAAAGATAAATATATAAATATTCTCTTCTTATTCATCCATATCCATTGATTCATTGGCACTGTTTTTCTATTATGGTATAAAAAATAAAATAATTAAATTTTGCATAATTAATAAGCAAAAAACAAATTAAAACATTTAAATTCAACATACATTGGAATTCTTGGAATGATTTGTATCTTGAAAATCTGATTCCATATTATTACATTTGACTTTTTTGAAATGTGCTTCATTTCCATTTGTGTCCATATCACTATCTTCATCTAGTTTGGAACTACTTCGCTTTGAATTTTTATTACTTTCATTAGATATTTTACTGTCTTTTGATCCGTTAGATTCAGATATTACACGATTTCTGTCATAAAAAGATGTGATCTTTTTTTGCCAAGACGGTGTCTCTCGGGGAAAATATCGATTAACGGGAAGATTATCTTTACCTAGTATATTGTAAAAAAAAAGAAAAGTTTTTATTAAAATATATGTATTATAATGAGAACAAAAATTTTAATTCAATATTCGTTAAAATTGAAACAAAATAATAATAAAATCCTAATTTATAAAAGCATTATAATTGTTTTAAATTACTCATTTTTAATAAAATGTGTATAATTTTATCTTTCTTTGACAATTTTCATTGTATCAATGGCCAGTAAATAATGCAAGTTTAGTTACATTAATTACAAAATGACCGTTACATTAGAATGTTTATTCTTTGATTATATTAGACAGCGAAAGTAATTCACCTTTTTCTGTAGGACTCGATGTAGAATTATTGTGAGCATAGTTTGCAGATTTTTTTGGTGCTTTACTACCAGCAGCAACTGTAAATATAAACAATAATATATATAATTTGAGTGTTGTTAAAAAAAAAAAAAAAAAAAAAAAAAAAAAAAAAAATCAAAAATTTTCACACGCCTATAAGGTATTTAACGATAAGAAAGATAAGAAATTTTTATGGAATTTTGACAAGACAAAAATGATTAAAATATATTGAAGGAAAAGTTGTTTAATAACCAAAATCAAAACGTTCATTTAAAAAATTAACAAATTTCTTTACCTCTAGTAGCAGCATCGGCTTTGGTTCGAACCATTTTTTCTTATTATATATTAAACTGCTTAATGAGTATTATAAACTATAATAAATTTCTTGAATTTTGAAAATTTTAAATTCTTTTTAATTTGAAATTAAATTAAATTAACAAAATAAGGACATGAGGTGGGATTTCGCGCGCAATTATGTCACTCTAGGTTAGTCCTTAGCCGTAACTATAAATAATACAATCGAATTGCATTCCAATAAGAATTTGTATAATTTGAAAATTCAAGTTGTGCGCCTATATAAATCATGAGGCTCATTGGCTCCCGTAAATGAACACAATTTTTAAAAAATATTCAACAAGTAGTGGCTTTAGTCGTTTATTTAAAAATTACATTACCAAGGCTTTTTATCATTTTATCATTTTAATGATTTTAATGATTTTAATGAATAGCCGCATTAGAATAAATATATCAATTTCAAGTGTAGAGTGGTATAGATTATTACAAAAAAAAACATTTAATTCAATTAAACTGCCATTATAAAAGTATATTTGTCAATTTTGTATACTTGTCTCTTTTATTTTTAAAATTAGTATAAAATTTGTCTTTCTTTATAACTAAAGTCGTATGGTATGCATCACCAAAGTGCATCAAATTACTTTGATATTGATTCTTGAATAAAATGAATTTAATACAATTTAAATATTACAGCCTTCTTTTACAAAATTTAATAATTATGAATAATTTTAATATTTTTCAGTAAATTAATTATAATTAAATAAGCAGATCGTGATTGTCAGTGTATTATATTAGTGCAATTTTTAATTTTCCATTTCAATTTTCATTATTAATTCATGAAAAATGTAATACTTAAATTTAAAATAATTGAGTAATTCAAATATTTAAATGCATTTAAATTTCTGCTTTGCTGTAATCATTAACATTTAAGCGGAAATCAATTGCCTTTAAATGATTAGTTATTCAATAGGAAATTTCGTTATCTATGTTCAGCCGATGTGAAATTTTACATTATCAGTACATTAAAGAAAAACATATAAAATTATAACCCATAAAATGATCCTACAAAATCAAGTAAGTGGGATTGGATAAAAATCTTTTTAATTATTGAAAATCCTATGAAACTCTCTTCTTTTTGTTTTATATTCATTCGTAAGCATAACCTAAACAATTTAAAATTCAATTATATAAAGCAAATGATACTAATAAGATTATCATAATATTATAACGTTAATTGCAATTTTCGGAGAACTTTTTAATTTTTCATTAGATGATATTTATTATTTGAGCAATTTTTCTTTAGAATTAATTTCGTTACACACTGTATCCTTCATTATTATCATTATTGTGCTTAAAGTCACCAAGTAATGAATTAAGATGCCCCGCTAAGTTGTTAAATATTTATTCGATGAAAATATAGAAGATGTTAGTGAAAACGATTGTTCTTAAATATAATTTGTAATTCTTTTAATATATGTAATAATAAATCATAATAATACTTTCATTTCATCGTTAAAATCTTGCATAAACATAAAATAGTAGGTAATACAATGGTAATGATATTCACAGAACATTTTTTATTTTTGATAATTAAGATTCCGTCAATGTCCAAAAAACTTTATAGCACTGGAGTAAAATTAAACGATGTCGTTATAATCAGTGCTGCGAGAACTCCCATTGGATCTTTCCTTGGTTCTCTATCGTCTATGTCCGCAACTAAACTTGGAGCTATAGCAATTCAGGTAAATTATTCGTTTCAATCAATAATAAGACGTAATAGATATAATAAAATAAAATGTAATCAAATAAAATTGTTGTCGTTTTAGGCCGCGATAGAAAGGGCATGTATTGGTAAAGAAGAGGTGAAAGAAGTTTTTATGGGAAATGTTTGCCAGGCAAATGTTGGACAAGCACCAGCTAGACAGTCGGCTTTATTTGCAGGTTTTATGAAAGATTAAATGACAATTTAAAAATATTTTTTAATATTCTAATCGTAAGAGTATTTTTGAGTAATGTCTTTAAAACTAATAATTCATTAATTTGATTATATTATTAGAGTTAAAATAAGTGCAGTGCTTGTACGTTTATTGCATTAATGGAATAGTTTAAAATTAATTCTTTAATGGGATATCTAAAATATAAATTTAATGAGAAATAAATTCTAAGGACAATTTTATTATTTAGGTCTTCCTAAATCCACCATTTGCACGACTATAAATAAAGTTTGCGCAAGCGGAATGAAAAGCGTCATGTTAGGTGCTCAAGCATTACAATGTGGATCTCAGGAAATTATTTTAGCAGGTGGTATGGAATCAATGTCAAATGTTCCATTTTACTTAAAGAGAGGAGAAACAAAATATGGTGGTATGAGACTCGAGGTATAATTAACTTTGGCTTTGTATTAATTTACAGCCATGATTTGTTTGAAATGATTTATAATTGTAATCACTACTTTTGTGCGCCTGTGTTTCTATGCGACTCGCCTATAACTCTTTAAAGAAGAAAGATGTATTTTTTTTTCTAGGATGGTATTGTATTCGATGGATTAACGGATGTTTCTAATAAATTTCATATGGGTAACTGTGCTGAAAATACTGCCAAAAAAATTGGAATAACACGCGAACAGCAAGACGAATATGCGATTAATAGTTATAAACGAAGTGCTGCAGCGTATGAAAACGATTCGTTTAAAGATGAATTAGTGCCTGTTAATATTCCACAAAAAAAGGGCAAAGCAGATATAATTTTTAGCGCGGATGAAGAATTTAAAAGAGTGAATTTTGAAAAATTTAGTAAACTGGCAACAGTTTTTCAGGTACAATTAAGTTAATCCATATTATAAAATTAGTTTACTTTTTTTATTAAGTCTTTTCTCTTCATCCCCCCCCCTTCCCCTCCCCCTCACCATCCAGAAAGAATATGGTACAGTTACTGCAGGTAATGCATCGACTTTAAACGATGGAGCAGCGGCTCTTATACTAACTACTACTCAAACTGCAGAAAAGTTGAATCTGAAACCATTGGCAAGAATCATTGGTTTTCAAGATGCCGCAACAGATCCAATTGATTTTCCAATTGCACCAGCATTAGCTATTCCAAATGTAATTATTAGTAAATAAATAAGTATACTTAAGCTTATAACAATTCCATATTCTTACTTATTTATTATTTTTTCAGTTATTAAAAAATGCTGGAATAAGTAAAAATGATATTTCACTTTGGGAAATTAATGAAGCGTTCAGTGTTGTTGTCGTTGCTAATCAAAAATTACTAGATATAGACCCAACGAAAGTAAATATTCATGGTGGCGCTGTTTCATTAGGACATCCTATTGGGTATATATATGTTACTAATTATAAATGAAAAGATTTCAAATATATTTTTGCATACGATACTCAATACTCAGATTTACTTTTTATATTAATGACAATTCTATTCTTAAAAGATTTATGATGAATTGTTTAAGTTCATATTGAATGATTTGAATTGAAGTTAATATATATATATATATATATATTAATAATAAAATAACATTGTTCAATAGAATTATCAATTTTACTCTAATGGTTGAACAATTTCATCTTTAAAAATGATCTAATTTTTGTGCTTTAATTGATATATAATATTAAAAATAAAAACGTTTCCTAATTGTTTATTATTCTTATTTTTTGTAAATTAAGTTGTCGGTATTGCAATGCAAACATTTCAAATCGATACATTAGACCGGCATTTTTATAGAAATAATTATTTATTATTCTTCGATATTGACAATAATAAGTTTTTGCTTATTTTAGAATGTCGGGAGCACGAATTATTGTACATTTAGTGCATGCACTGAAGACAAATGAGAAAGGTGTAGCATCGATTTGTAACGGAGGTGGTGGTGCATCATCAATTTTAATTGAAAAACTATAAGATGGTTTCACATTAATTATTGAAGTGCTCGATTAAACTGAAAATGTACTAGAATATTCAAAGTGCAGTTACTTGTAACAGTAACTTTTAATGTAATTAATCATGTTTAATGTTATGTTTATGAATATTCAAATAATATTAAATGTTACTTTATTTTTATACTAAAATATATCTTTTATACTGAAAATAAAGCTTTTAAAAAATCGTATTCTTATGATTGATTAAAAATTTTAATTTATTAAATATACAAAAATTCAATAATTGTAATGTTCTTATATAAATTTTATTAATATTCATCATGGACTGTACTGACATTATATACCAAAAACATTTGTTCTTTGCAAGATAATTTCTAAAAATGAACTAACATTTTAATTCGTTGAAAAATGGCGATTAGAAATAATAAAGCTGACAATGAAAAATTTCCAAAAGTTATATCAATATCAAATACCAATATTAATGTAAAAGACAATTAGATTTTTATTATAATAATTAGACAACAAACTATTAAAATGATCATAATTTTATTTATTAAATTTAGTTTGTGTATTATATTGCTAATTTTATGCAAAATATGCATATACTTTATACATTATTTATTCAATGATAGATGATTATTATATTTTTTTTCTTCAGAACTTTACAATGTATATTAGGCTAATGAAAACAATGAAAATTAATCTCATTGAATTTATATGATTAATTTTGCAATGCTTTATAAAATTAATAATTTATAAACAATTTATATAGGCAAATTTTAATAATTAATAAACATTAATTTATTACGAAAATATGTTAGATTCAATAGGAATCGAAATTTCTAGTAATATATAATATTTACATATGCAAAACACCTTGGAAAATTGAAAAATTGAATAATATATCAAAGGACTCTCTCAGTTTCTTAATTTATTATTTACAATTGAAATAAAAAAATATTGTACCCATTGCAAGTCTAATATCTATATATTTTTACCAGTACGTTACACTTTATTAATTAGCTTTCATCAAAGAAGATTGATTCATTTTAGCAAAAAAAAACTTGAATCAAAGGTGAAGATAATAAAATTTTTAAAAATTAACTTTACTATGGCAATACTCGAAATCATTAATACACAAAATAACTCCACAATATTAAAGGAAGATTATAACGAAGAGTCATAATTATTATTAAATTTATAATCAGTTAATCGTTATATAACATCATTTAATAAATCTGTATGCAAACATTAATTATTTCCTTTATTTTCATTGAAAATAGATATAATTTATCGCTGTAAAATATCTTGAAAATTGTTCATTTAAGAATTTACTCATTATTATTCTAAAGCGATTGATTTATAAAATATTTATTAATCGGTTTTAATAATTCTTTTAAATATTTTGAATCTGCCAACTGAGTAATATTTGCATTCTTACTAAAAAGAAAACATTAAAAAGTATGTTTTATGATGTAAACATCCTGGAACTCAGCATTTTGTATATTAAATTCTTTCGTAATTTTATCCACGCAAACACTATGATGTGAACATTCTGATTCAATAAAATTACTAATGAATTAATATCAAAGGTACTAAAGGTAGTAAAATTAAAATTTTTCATTTTTAATCATTTTAAAGATCTATCGTGCAATTTCAAAATATTTATTCCTAATACCTAATATTTTCTAAAACGTTCCGTTATTATTTGCATTTTTACAATAAGAAATTTATTTCTATGAAAATTTACAAAATAATATAATTAAATATAATTAAATACGACTGATAAAATTATCACTAATTGATTACACATTTAATTATTAAATTATCTGTGATAATACAATTTACGAATATGGTAGTATTTTCGAAAAATGCACTCGGTTTTTATACATTTCTAACTATTAATCGAGTACATTTTTTCTTAATAAAACTAATCGTGAAAAAGAAAAAAGAACTATAAAAATATAAAAAAATTGCTTTGTAATTAACAAAAAAAAAAAAAAAAAAAAAAAAAAAAAAAAAAAAAAAAAAAAAAAATTTTTTTTAAAAAAAAAAAAAAAAAAAAAAAAAAAAAAAAAAAAAAAAAAATTAATACATTTCTTTACTTTTACTAGTTTCCATATGCAGATTTATGTAGATATAAGGGATTAAATTAAAATTGATATTGAAACAAAATTTAAATTAATATTTTTAAAAATAATTCAATATTAAAACAAGTAAATAAAAAGTTGTTTAATGATAATGAAAACTAATAAAAACTTTTAAATTGATAATAAATTAATACTTAAATAATTAAAAATTGTATGAAACAGTACCATTACCTAAGTATACAAATCAGTTGAGGATTAAATATATTTTTTCTATGTTTAAAATTAATTAAATTATTATTACTACAAACATTTAAGTTTCACTATTATACATGAATAATTAAATAATATAATAAAATAACTTGAAATATAACTACAAGTTTTTATTAAAAAAAGTTCCTATTAAATAAGCTACGGTTACATTAACAGTTATATTTAGACTAATAGCAGTAATTATTTTATATTTAACTATATATTGCTAATTAACACGAAGTTTTTTTTCTCCATTAACAATAATGTGTAATAAAGTGAATTCCTAGAGATATAAAAATATTCTTTCCTTCGAAAATCTGCATTTCTCTCAAAATAAGAATAAATACAATTGGATATTGAATTTAAAATAAAACTTTATTTCGTCAGCAAATCAATTTCATATCATAAAACTTATTACAAACTTAATTTTTAATATGTAATAAAGACAAATATTTTTTCTTTTTCTTTTTGTTTAAAAATATCATAAGAAAAAATGCAAATGTATAAAATTAATAGTTGATATAACATGAATTGTGATAAAAAAAAAAAAAAGTAATTGACTGTTTATAAAACAAGTATGGTACTAATACCCACATAAATAATACATATATTTTTATAAACATATATACATATTATTAAATATATATATATATATTGAAAGATATTTATATAAATGTGTGATATAAATATACATAAATTAAATTGTATCTATAAATTTTTATTTGATTACCCAAAATATATGAAAAGGTTATCTCATTTGATGGCTTTGGTAGTTTAAGAAACCTATATAATTGATAATATACGTCCGTAAAGAAATATAAATAAATTTTGTATTTTAGAGTAAATATTTGAAATAAATTTCATAGATTACAAATACATTGCAATGATTATAAATTCATTTTTTGTTCATTTTAAAATGATACTTTTTATCTATGAAGTGACTTATAACATAATTTAATTAAAATCATCTCATTCAAATTAAAAAATAATGCTCATGTCTAATATATCAATAAAAAGTAAAACAGGAACATGTAAATCCAAGTATGTAAATTATTTTTTCTTATTAGCTACAATGAAAACATTTAACAAACTAAAATTATTCAGTGCTTTCACCTAGTCTCTCTTACCTTCTCTTATTAATTTTTTTTTTTTTTTTAACATAATAATCTGGCGCCTGGACAATAGTTATATTAATATAATGTAAAAATATTACTTTATTTTTCATTCACATGGATTTAAATAAATTCATTTAATTATTTTATTAAGGATAGATCGTTTATTACAGGAAGATTATGAAGAATTTTTGATAATTTATGAATTACAAAATAGTGAAAATTTTATTATTTTTAGCGCTTTGTGTTTGGAAAAAATGCCATTTCAAAAAATTAACGAACAATAAGCTAATTGACACTTGAATGTTGGTATTAAAGTAATAACAATTATATAATATTGCATTAAGTTTGTTTTATAAGTAAAGAAGATCCTTAAAAATTATAGTTAATTTAATTCAGAATTTTAATATTGAATTATATAAAATGCTACGGAGCACTTATATTTAAAATTATACTTATTTATATATAAGAAATATCTATATAGCCAGATCGTAAATTTTTTAAAAATAATTATTTAAATGTTTCGTAATCATATTGTATATATGTTTTAGTTTTGAAATGCATAGATTTTTTTCTCAATTAAACAAAACGTTTTTAGGATGAAAGAGTGCTTAAAACATGTCGCACATTTAATATATTAATATACTAAAAATATTTTATCAAAAATTTCATTTTTGTAATAACAACGGAAAGCATTTTAATTTTACAATGAATTATGGTAATTTTTTTTATATTATATCTCTAAAGTGTAATTACATAAAGATTTAAAGAATTATTTAATTAAAAGTGATGTAGATCAAGCCAATTTAAAAAGAATTAAAATAGAAATATTCCAATTGCAGAATCTTTTATTTCTATTTTCTTTCTTTACTTATGTGTGTGTGTGCGTGCGTGCGTGCGTGCGTGTGTGTGTCTAATATATGAGATACTTAAATTACTATTTACTCTTTGTAAATAATATGATTGTAATTACATAAAGATTTAAAGAATTATTTAATTAAAAGTGATGTAGATCAAGCCAATTTAAAAAGAATTAAAATAGAAATATTCCAATTGCAGAATCTTTTATTTCTATTTTCTTTCTTTACTTATGTGTGTGTGTGCGTGCGTGCGTGCGTGCGTGTGTGTGTCTAATATATGAGATACTTAAATTACTATTTACTCTTTGTAAATAAAAAACTTCTAGAGAATTTTAAGGAATTTTATTTATTAATTAATAATCCTTAAAGCATAATATTTTGTATGCGTCGAAAGGTAAAACTTATAGATTTCTCATTATATACATTATTTTTTTTCTTCTTTTTTTTTCCACTAATGAATGAACCGTCTATGTGCTTAGGGGACGAAACGAATGTAATATAACGCAGTTTATAGACTAACATTCTATCCAATCAAACAAGAGCTAATCAATAACTTTTTGCCCTTTGTCATACGAGCGCAACTCTCACTTACCATTGTTTACGCGTAGGAAAGATTCTTTGAATAAAGAAGAAAAGCAAATACATAGAATTCGTCATGAGTGTCGAATGCAGAGCTGCATAGCTTCACATAGACAAGTTTATTCTTATGTGTTTTATTACCACCGTAACTTCTTGTCTTCTTCTAAGGCCTGTTGATACATATAAACACACAGAGAGAGAGAGAGAGAGAGAGAGAGAGAGAAGAGAGAGATGCAATAGCGCGAACGCAAATTAATAACGTAAAGGCAAAGTTGGACGATGAGGTAGATAGAGAATCGTAGAGAGAGAGGGAGAGAGAGAGAGAGAGAGAGAGAG